TGTGTGTGTGTGTGTGTGTGTGTGTGTGTGTGTGTGTGTGTGTGTCAGGGATGGGGGAGGATTTGGAAGGAAACTTCTTCAACAAATCAGCACAATGTCTACTCTTTTCCAGGCACTGTGCTGGGCAGTGGTAGGAGGCCATATTTTGGCCCTGAAGAAACTCATGGTCCAGGGACAGGGTAGCCAGCCATCTGAGTTTGTGTGAAACAGTCATTGTTCTGAAACTAAGAAAAGTCCACCCAAACCACCTGGCCTACTTGCTGTGGGGGCAAGGGATGTCCCTTGTAACAGTTGGTGGTGACAAGGTACTGCTTGGGAGGGAGGTAGAGAGTATGCAGGCCATTTAGTTAGCCAAGTATGGTCTGTTCACTGTATGTATATAAAAGAGCCTCAAGTTTGTTCAGCAAAAAGACTTCTGGGTGATCTTATCTTCCTATGGTGAAGACATGAGAGAGATAAGAGGCGTGTCCTTGCAGCATGATCACGGTGGGCAGAGCTGAGTAGGGTACCCAGATGCCTCCATCCATGCTGCAGTAAAAATGGCCACCTTGGCTGGTGGCACTTCCCATCCCTCACTTCACCCAGACCCTCTTTCAGGTAGGTGTGGGAAAACTGAAGTGGGGAGGAAGAAGATGCCTGTGTTGTGAGAGACCCACCATGATCAGGTTCCCAGTAAAAAGGGACTACTTAATGGAGACCATGAGGAACTGGAGCCATAAATGCAGTGAAAGGACATACCAGTCGAACAAGAGCCTGCTGGTGGAGGCGGGGCCTGGCATCCACCAGATCAGTGCAGATAAGGTACTGGCTGCCCAGAAAATAAACATGCCTATTTGTGCTCTATTTGTGCTCTATTTGATGCCCAAAGCCTCACTGACCACCTACTATGCCCAAGTCCTTGGTGAAGCTGGCAGAGGAACAAGGTTGAAAAACAGTCCTTTCTGTCATGGAGCTATATTCACTGGAGCTCAGAGAGAGATTGTAAACAAGTGTGACTATGACATGATACTGTAGGGGTTCCGTTAGTGTCTTTGAGAGGGTTTGAAAGTCTTATGAAAATGATGATCATTGAGGTTTTAGTTGTAAAACAGCCATAACATTTTGATTATGCTTGCAGAATGATCACCAGGAGCCTGGCTACAGGGGCTGTCGTGACTGTCATTGGGGAAGTTTAAATGGGTCTTCTTGGAAGGGGGATTCTAGGTAGCCATGTTCAGAAATAAGGGAAGAGACTGGGGGAAGGTGGTTAACTATGTCTCTGAAAATGACCTGAAAAGGCAGAAGTGAAAGTCTGAGAACTGAGTTCACAGGAAACGCTGGGCAGGTACAGGGGTCTAGGGCCACAACCTCATTGCTCATGAGATTATCCAGTGAAGACAATGAGCTTGGACCATACAGTGACCCCATCAGGAGCTGTCCACTGTACTTAAAAAAGATTGAAGACCAATGTGTTGTTGGACTGTGCATGGCGTCACTCTAAGTTTGTTTTTACATACATGTAGCTCTCTGTCTCCCTGTCTCTCCCTCTCTCACCTCTCCCTCTCTCTGTCTCATGTGTGTGTGTATGTATACATGAATGTGTGTGTGCCACCTATGTTCAAGTGCCTGAAGAGGCCAGAAGATGGGGATTCTGTCTGCTGTAAACTTTGAGAATTGAGCTCAGGTCCTCCAGAAGAGCAGCAAATGCTCTTAACCACTGAGCCATCTTTCCAGGCCCGTGCGGCACTACTTTTAACATGAACTTAGCAAGTAATGCATATGTCAGGATTCTTCTGTTTCCATGCTCAGGGAAGGCCCAGCTGTCTGGTCTTGACTGCCTATCATGAACACGTTCTAGCCAACAGAACTACTTGACTGTCTTCCACAAGCCTCCTCCTTGTTATCAAAATTGCATTCACAGTAACAAAAGACAAAATGATCTCTGGGAAGGGTCTGGTGAGCTGAAGAAGTTCCTCCTTTCGCTGTGGTTAGGCAGGCTGCTTGTCTCTTCTCCAGACACAGCACTGTCCCCGTAGCCCTGTAAGATCTTGGTCTGACCCACTCTTACACACTATTGAAGAGCCTGGTCAAATCTCTCCTCTTCAAAGAGGGTTTCTTGACCATTCCCTGGAACAGCTGCCCAGACATCATGCTGGGCTACTTTTCATCTGAACAGTTGTATCAACTTGCTTCCATGTTCATCCATTTCTGTTGTCAGAGCATAAGCCCCATGAGGACAAGGATTTTGTCTGTGTCCCATTGTGCCCCAGTGCCTATCATCATCCCTACCAGGTATACAAAGCTCAATACATAATTATTCCATTAGGTACAAGAATGAAAGTGTGCTATGCCAGTCTGTTAACACGATGGTTGCATTAAAATTGCAAGTGTGAAGTAGATTTGGGAAAAGGCTCAACTCCTTTTCCTCCCCCACCTCCCTTTGGTGAGAGAGAAAGAGAGCTGGAAATAGAATGGGAGAAGTTTCTGTAAATTTCTGGTAACCATAGAGACGGTGATTTTCGTTTATTAATCTCCTGCTCTTAAGCAGGCTGGGGCCCCATGGTGATTTCTCCAAATTGCTCAGTCTGGTTATCCTGCAGCCTTCCTCATTAAGAAGAGCGGGCCCGTTCCTATCCTGCAGCACTTTAATTACTGCAAGCAGAAGCAATGCGCTCTACGCTCATTACCTCGCGCTCAACTTGGCTGCACCCCCACTTTAGAACAATGTAGTGAGGTCACCCACCCTAACCCCCTGGAGCCTTTGGTGACTTCCTCCTTGGCCTGGGGCTCTCTCCTTACATTCAGCTATCTTGAAGGTGAGGCTCAGGACCTTCTGGAAGAGCTTTTCATTTAAGTCAGGGCAGGCCACCAGCAGGGGTTCCTGCCCATGAAGGCTATGCTTTTGGCGGAAAGAATTACCCCTGGGAAGTGTGCTCTTCTTGTTGTCTGGCCTCTTGTGAGATCTGATTTCATGGTTCTTTGCTCCTCTTCTTCCCAGGCAGAAAGACATGTAGCCTCTGTGAGTGTGCTTCTGGTCAAGTCAGAGTTTCCCCCATTGGCTTCAGGAAGCTGGGAAATGGTAGTTGGGGGCAGCAGCTCCTTTTGTGGCAGCTCTTCCTCAGGGAGGAGTTTTTTAGTGCACGTATTAGAAGACCAGAGTTGGACTTCTACAGTGGCAGTGAGCTTCTGCTGTAGCTCTTAGTGGGGACTTCTCAACTATGAGTGACATTAGGTTTGGTCCTTCTGTCTCTCAGTCAGTGTTGGGACTCTTTAACTTCCCTTTGGGTCCCTGATGAACAGGATGTGGAGAACACTCAAGTGAGGAAGAATGGGTTTAACAGAGACATGTCTCTGGGTGGAGTCTCAGCTCCCCTAAAGCTGGTCACCTAAGGTCTGACCTCCCTGCCTGTGGAAACACTAAGACTTCCCTTTGGCTGAATTCCCCATCCTGTTGATTTAGAAATGCTGAGCCATCCTTCCAGCAAATGTTCTGAGAGAACTGGCCATTGGCCATGTGCTACACTAGTCAATGCTTCTTATCCTATGGCCCATGAACCCATATGGGGTCACTTAATTTAATGTGGGGGTTGTGGAAGGTTTGAAAAGAGTGAAAGATGCCAAGTGGCGGTGGCGCAGGCCTTTAATCCCAGCACTCAGGAGGCAAAGCCAGGAGGATCTCTGTGAGTTCGAGACCAGCCTGGTCTACAGAGCAAGATCCAGGACAGGCACCAAAACTACACAGAGAAACCCTGTCTCAAAAAACAAAAAATAAAATTAAAAACAAAGAAAAGAGTGAAAGAGGTCTGAATGCACAGAGGCCAAAGCTTAGTTCAAAAGTCAAACTCAGGATGAATCCAAGAAGTTTCTGGTAGTGCTCACCTATGTTATGTGTACAACTTCACTGCAGCCTCAGTTCTGAACACTCAGCACATGCACTTTGCACTGTGTATACCCCAAGGTCACATGGCACTGATGGGAGCTCCCTGAAACAGAGGATCAGGCTCAAGATCACTGTATGATCTAAGTTGCACTATTTTTACCATCCATGCTAAGTTTTCAGCTCCCATAGAAACCCAATAGTTTAATTACAGATAGCAGAACTGCTCATGTATCCCATCCACCACCATTTACATGTAAGTGTAGTATGCTGTTGGACTATGCTGTGCTGAAAAGACAAGCATATGGAGATTCCTTATATATCAATTTTATCTTTAATAAATGGTAAGTTTACATGTGTATCAAAGAATTGGTTTTAAGATACATTTATGTATGATTTATCATTAGAAGTTTGAATTAAGTACCTATTTTAGGTACCTATATACTCAGTGTCACTGAAGAATTTCCTGAGTAAGAAGGAGTTATGGTATAAGAAGTTATATTATAGCCAGGGCCCTGCACTAGGTGCTTAGGTCCTGCTGTGCGCCTGGCATGGCCATCAACCCGTTCTCGTGCTCTTGTGGGCCAAGCTTTCAGTAGCTGTAGACGTCTGCTGCTCAGGTAAGGCCCATCTTCAGCATACCAGAGATGAGGCCTTGGGGAGACCTTAGACTCCTGAGCCCATCAGAAAAGCCGAAGGAATTTGGAGGTAGGCCCATACCTGGTGTGACGACGACGACAGTGGCGTCACCAGCAGGTCCAAGAGCTCAGTCATTCTTCTTTCCAGGTGCCGCAACCTCTCATTCCCTGACAGCCTACCAGAGGTGAGCATCGTGTTCATCTTCGTCAATGAGGCGCTCTCGGTGCTGCTGCGTTCCATCCACTCGGCCATGGAGCGCACACCACCACACCTGCTCAAGGAGATCATCCTGGTGGATGACAACAGCAGCAATGGTGAGTGTCCACCTCCCTGGAGCCCAGCACCTGGCCCTGGGAAGGCTGATAAGAGTCTTCAGCTTTATGTTTTCACGTCTCAAGGTTCCATCTAGGGGGTGTCATCTCAGAGACAGATTTCATGATGGTCACCGCTTGGAAAGTCCATGTGCATCCCAAAGAGGCTGAGTCTTCAGTGGCTCGCCACTGTCTGTCCTAGCTTTCTAATGCTCTATGAGGAGATGAAAGGGCTCGGATCTACCCCACCTCACACACGGTGACTGTTTCCTATGAAGCGTCATTTCACTGGTGGTGGGCCTCCTTCCACTTGGATGATTGTTTGCAGTTGTTGTTTTGCCAACAAGAGTGAGGATGGTGCTGATGGTAGGGATGTTGATAGACAGGAAATGAAAGCATTGAGCTATTGGATGTCTTTGTGAATGCTCTGTCCCCAGAAAGGCTCTAGCGTGCGTGCAAGGGCCCTGTTGAACTCTTCAGTGTGCCTCTTTCTCCAGCTACCTCTGTCCCTTGGTTCACGTTGCACATCCTCTGGTTCCCACTCTCAGAAGTTCCCATAACTCTCTGGACTTAAAGATCAGGTGTGGACAGCTTAGAGACCAGTGCTCTCAGCAGGACCACATCTGTGAATGTGCTTATGAAACTGCATGACTAGAAGCAACAATCAACCATTGTGGGAGTGGACCACAAGTCCCCGAGCTTGCATTGTCTTTCAAGCCTTCTCAGGTGTAGCTAGTAAATTTCCCGATGAATCAGTTGCTGTAATGAGGTGGGCAATTTGTGATTTGTTATCAATTAAAGCTGAAACATATCAGATAATTGAAATGCCTTTCATCTCAATAAGTGAATTTCCCTTTTCATTTTCTCATGAGGTAAGAACCACAGGAGCAGAACTGTGAGGGGATTCAAGAGCTTTCCAAAGGGAATGCTCGTGATTCACTTGCTTCATTGTTCCATGGGCACAAAGGAAGGAGGCCTCAATGATGTGAGCAAGTAGGAAAGGCCCAGCCTCCATCTCCACTGGTACCCACCTTTGCTTAAGAGTCAGTGAAAGAATTCTCCAGAGAGATGTATGTCCTACCTCTCATCTCACATGAGGAGGTGAGGGATGGCAGAACCTCTATACCAGAGGGGAGGGCATTTCCAAATAAAAGACCCCCCCCAAATCTCATTCCAATACATTTCATCACAGACTAAAGGAAGAGATACTGTTCGACTTTAATCTGTGTGGAAAGCAAAGGGATGATGGGACTGGTATTCTAAGAAATTTAGATAAGGAGAGTGAGTCAGGTGTGGAGGATTTCTTATGTGAATTCTTAAAATGTAGACTTTATTTTGTTAATGCTGGTAACCATCATATGGTTTTGGTAAGAGGAATGAGGGGTTGAGGACTTGTCTGCTTTGTGATCCTGGGTGGGGAAGGGGCCTCTGGAAGAAGGGACATGGGTAAAGAGGCTTTTGCAGAAGGGCAGATGAGAAGTTTAAGACCAGGAGGACCGAGAACAAGACATAAACCTGAGAGACATTACAGAGGAAGAATTTGTGAGACCTACCATGGACAGATGGGCCGAAAGAGGGCAGGACACCGATGACTCGAAGTTTCAAGCCAAGGTGATGGAAAGGATGGTGGGTATTGTCCTGGGACATGGAGGTGGCAGAGCAGTGTGCAGGTGCAGTGGTTACCTGTGAATGACATACATAGAAAAGCATACTTGGGAACTTTCAAACCCTCAGGGGGTGGGGGTTGGTAGCAATGGTACAGTGAGGTAACTGTAGGGGTGGCTACACTCTGATGCACAGGTGATACAGCTGCATCCAGCTCCCTGTGCATACCCAAGAGAGCACCTGCATATGGGGGAGACCTGGACAAGCTGTGGGGGCTGGAGCAGCCTCCAATATTCTGATCGTGGTATTGACTGTAGCGTGTACAAAGTTACCAAGAGGTTGTGGGATGTAGCTCACTAGTAGAACACTGCTTTAGCACACACAAAGCTCAAGCTTCACCCTCAGCACCACAAAGATATTTTTAAAAAGATTTTAGCATTAGGAAAGCTGGATTGAGGGTGCTTGAGACCTTCTTCTACACTTTGTGCTTTTAATTAATTCAAAATATGATGTTAAGCCAGATGTGGTGTTGCATGCCTGTAATTCCTGCACTCCAGAGACAGAAGTAGATGGAGCTCTGTGAGTTCGAGCCTAGCCAGAACTGCATAATGACATCATCTCAAAATGATTATAACAATAATAGTAATAATAATATTAATATTACTAATAACAATAATTGTAATAACTTTTAGACCACCCAAAAGCTCTCCCTTGAGATTCTACCTCATTAAATTTGCAGCAGAGTCTGGAAATTGCTGTTTTTAAAGCATCCTTAGCAATCCACGGCTCTGACTGACAGCCTGGATGAATGGCCCAGATATATCTTCACTCTCTGCACAGTAAGGGTCACTATGTACTGTGAAGGGAAGGACTCTCAGGCTGAAGTGAGAAGTTGTGGATTCTGAGATGCTCCCTGCAGAGGAGGAGTGGCTGAGAAAATCCCTCTCTGCTAAATCTCAGGAACTTCCTGTGTGAAATAGAGGTGACAGTTGTCCCAGGTGCCTCACCTGCCTAAAGTGGTAAAACAAGCCATATAACTGAACTGAGCCTGTCAGTGTTGTCCCTGCCCAGCCCTGCTCCTTTCCCAGAAGTCCAGTGCGCAGTGAACTGCACAGAGAACGCAGGAGACCTGAATCAGACTCTCATAAGTTGGGTAAAGAAGCCCCAGCTGGGAAGACAGGGTGTCCAAAGAGAAGAGTGGAGAATAAGAGTCCGGAAGCTTAAGGAGGGTATTGAAGATGAGATAGTCAGGACCAGGAAGGAGAGGGTGGGTAGTGGTAGGTGGTGGCAGAATAGGAACCATGGGAATAGGTTAGTCATCCCCCCTGGAATGAAAGAGCTCCAGGTTGCCCTAACACACAGGCAGGTGGATGATAAGGAATCTGAGAAGAGGCTCCTGGGTCTGGAATATCTGGCTCCGGAAGCCTTGGTAAATAGCAAGGCTGGGCTGGGGGTGAGTAGCCAGATGCAGAAGCTGAAGTGGAGAAGGGGAAGTCACTGTGAGGGATTTGACTCCAGGGGAGGATCGCCAGCTAAGGCAAGGAGCTGGAGCAGTGTTTCCTCAAAATAAAAATTTGCAGCATTATCATCATCATTTACAGCAAGAAGTTTCCATCTGACCCAGGATGACACACCTACTCATGCCCCTGTACACACCACCCCTGATTGAAGCAGAACTTCTAAGAAACAATACCTACTCTTACAATGCACAAAGCATCCTGCCATTTCCCATTGTATTCTGTGCTATGGTATTCAATTCTATTATATTTTGTTCTATTCTCTCTTCTTTAGAGACAGGCTGTTCTCAAGACCTGGAGTGCACATCAAAAGCACTTTGGTGAACTTGGGGAGCTGGGGTCCAGGCCATTTCTGTGGTGTTTAAATGGGTCTGAAGAGGGGGTACCTGAGTCCCTGAGGTCAGAGGCACTGAGCAGGGGCTCTGTAGAAGCAGAAGACGGGTCTGGGGTGCAGCTGCCCAAGAGAACAAAAGGTTCATCTGCTCCCCAGTCCAGAGGTACAGAGGATGAGTGGAGAGGCCGCCGGAGGCAGCAGAGGCAGTAGAAGGCATGCACGGTGGTAGGTTCTCTCAATCCTAGCACCCTGTGGCAAGCAGGGTTCTAAGACCAGAGTGCAATGGGACAAGAAGGTGACCAGTAGCAGAGAGATGGCCTTGGCCAGCTGAAGGTAGAAAACGGATAGGAGAGAGACACTCTGGGGAAGGGTGCAGCCCTGGTCTGAGGTCACCTCCTAGTGGCTCAGCCTGACCCAGTGGCTGTGTTTCTACCTCGAGCAGCCCCTGTCTGGGGATCTGCTCCTCTCAGACATCATGTCACTCAGTCGGGGACTGTCACAAGTTCATCAGGGGGACTCGGCTCAGCTCCATAAGCATTCCAGGAGTCTGACCTATCAGTTCAAGTCTTAAGTACGAGGCATGGAGGAAGGAGGAAGGAGGAAGGAGGAAGGTCCCCTTTTGGTCACTTCTTATCTTTGGTTTTCTTAGGTGCCCTGTGGGGACCTTCAGCCACTCCTTGCCCTGTCGGTCTGACAGAGCCCCCGAGGACAGCAAGGGGCAAAGGGAACAAAGGTTCTGTGGAAGTGGCAGATTGCCAAGGGGATGAGGAGGCAGGCTAAAGAGGCGATAATAACGTGACACAGTTGATGGAGGTGACAGGTGTTTCAGTCACGGGGTAAAGGTAACTCACCATGATGAGAAAGCTCGGGGCTGGACGCTCGGCCAGCTTTGCAGTTCCAGCTCTCTCTAGAGTCTTCCGCCAGTGTGTTCTTAACCTAAGTGAACCCTATTCACCTTATCTGTAAAATTGAGATGTTTAATTCCTACCTCTGAGGTTGTTCGGAGTCTTGGATGAGATAAGGAATGATGGAAGAATGTGGGCTTTTAAGATTCTAAATTAAGCAGTGCAGAGCCACGGGAATGGCTTGCTCACAGAGCCCTCCTTCCCAGCCTCACCAGGGTCTCTGTGTGAACTGGCACTTTCTCTACCCACCTTCTCTGCTGCAGCCCGGGCGTCCTCAAACAAAGAAAGGGGAGGCCCACCATGCTTCCACCCAAGCGTCTCCACTGTTGGCGCCCTCCGAGGCCAGTGGTCCTGTAGAGGAGCCTCAGTTCATCTTCTCAACCCCCTCAGCTACTTCCTCCACCAACTCTGCTTTTCCAGAGACTGGCTTCTCCTTGGGATGCTGCCACTCCCTTGTACGCAGTCTTAACGTCAGTGTTGACTTGTGATTGACAATACGGAGATTTATGCCAGGCACCATCCTGCCTCAGGACATTGGTACAAGCTTGCCTTCCACCTGACATATCCTCACCCCACCTCATACTTTGCCCTGTTGCCTCTTTAGGGCCCCCCTCCAGTGGGCTGTTAGTGACCGGTACTGTT